TAATTGTCATCTGCAATTAGCGAAAGTGTAAGTAATTTGCTTTACAACATTTAGCAAACGTGCCCGATTAACACGACATGTCTATAAAAACAGACAACCAATCCTGTTGGCAGAGAAATACCGCTCGTTAACCACACTTCTCGTTCACGTCTGATCATGTCTTTAAAAACAGATAGATGGGGGGCATCCTTAAATTCTCGGCTACCTGGAAACCAAAATCTCTCTTAGGACCTTTCAGTAACTTTCGTGGAGCAGGAAAGAATGAACTGTATTGTAAAAAATAGTATGGCAAGATGCCAGTGGGCCTATTTTGTTCCAAAATGGACGAAGACAAATATTACTTCGATTGAAATAAAAAATAAAAACATTCGTCTGACACAAATGTATGTCTTTTGGTAGTAATGCGTCCTTTATAATTTTCATTTTTAATTAACTACTCATTTTTTTTTTCTACGCGAGAACATCCGTCTTTAGCATATGTTATATTCCAAATGCTCATATATCAGACAGCTGGGAATCATGTGTATGTGTAGACAGACATTAAGTGTACAGTATCATTACGTGTACAGTATCATGTTTAGTTTAATGATAAATATGGGGATGTATATGGTAATACATTTGCACCAAGGAAAAGCCATGCTTTAAATTTATATGCAGTAAATGGATCTTCCGTTTTCCTAACATTTCATTAGATTACCAGTAATTAATCTCATCATTTCCATTCGATTTCTCCCCCCTTTCACAAACCCTAACGAGATTTTCTTCCTGCTCTTGGTGTTGTTTCCCAACCTATTGGTACGTGCACCGTGCTAGTGTAGCGTATGGCATGATTTGATGCATTGCATTAAATGCGCTTTTTGGGGAGCGTCAACTCCATTCTGTTAGGTGTGACAGACGCTGTCAACCACCGCAACCGTGTACCGTAAAATTAACACCAATATTACAGTAGTTGTGAACTGTCCACATCCACCCGCTTCGGTCAGGAGGCCCACCAGTTAAAGACGTAAAAACTTCTATTATCCGCACTTTCTGTATATTAAAAGTGCCGCTTAATTTGAATCTACAATGGTAGACCCCATTCCCACATATTTTAGATCGATCTATCCCTGTGGGGAGTCTCGCTAGATTACTGTCAGCTTAGCCGGCTTAAGCGTCTGTCTCGCCTACTAAAAGCTGTAAGGAGGTAATCAAGTACCGTGCGCGCTCGGCTGACTTCAATTTAGCGTGAACCCCCAGGGAGTTAGGTCGATCTAGATGGTTCGATCTAAATCTATGGGAAAGCACTCGTAGTCTCGGCGTTCAACCCATGATCTGCTGCTGACAATTTAATTGTTTCACAGATAAATTGAACATGTATTTTAATATATCTAATATGGGTTTTGTTTGCAGTGGGGCAACGCCATTCCTAAAGATAAAAGATGACCTTAAAATGAAGTCCAACTCACATCAAATAAAAACAGGACAACATACACACTCGCGTGCACGCACGCACGCACAGACACACACACATACTAATCCTTTAATATGCCATTTGTAAATTTTCAGATCTTCCTCGTGAAATCTAAAATTCTTAAATCTGAGATGTGCTGATTGTCTGACTTCAAAAGACTCGTTTAATCATAGACTACACTTCCTATATTTACTATCACATAGTGCGTATGAAAAATTCACATGTGATGACTACGTATAATTTTGATGGAGAAGAAAAAAATGTTCACAACAGCCAAAATCTCGACGCAAGTAAAATATTTTCACCGAAATAATCTTAGAGAAAAGAATTCACTCGTTCTGTGCGCCGCGTCATCTAAGGCCAAGCCACACTTGTGAGACCAGTGGTAGAGTCACCACACTATGAACAGCGCCCTAATTACTGCCGGCAAGAGAAAAGGTGGCCCTTTGTTAAAGGTGAGATCAAGTTGAGTGATTTCACTAGGAGGCGTTGCTATAAAGGTGTGACACAGAGATAGGGTGAACATTTGCCTACACACAGCGATACTCTCTCTTACCCATTTACAGGAAGAGCAAAAAGTAAGTGACACCTTTTTCTACGCTTTGAAATCCCTGTTACATCGAGCCTGCCACCGTTTAGAGAACAGTTTTTGATAACTGGCGCCCCTTTCAAATTTGGGGTTTTGGAAATATTTAATAGTCAGTGTCATATTAATGAACTATAAAATTGGACAACAAGAAAGAAAAAATAAAAGGCCCCATAAAACCTTAAGTGCTTAAATATTGCAGCCTTCTTTGTAGCATAATTCCTGTAAGTGGACTAAAATTCCTTTTCCGGGGGGTCGCAAGACCGGTGTACCATGGACTTGAATACTTCCCTGGTCAGTGTGTACTTATAAGAGACAGGAAAAGGGAAAACTAGAGAGGCATGCCGGCGGTTAATTACATGAATATGAAAAGTGTATAATGACAACAACTAAATGTGGCTTTTACCAGTATTACCCTTTTGTTCTTAGTTGGTGTCATCTAGATTTTATAACGGATTTTGCGTTCATCTGTAAATTGTTTTCCCTAAGCTTTTAAAATGTGGTTTCTTGTTAATGTGATTGTGTGGGCGTTTGCTTGTTTGGTTGAATGGCGTGAGAGTTGACATCTTGATGATTATCGAATCAAGTATCGTTTTGTTTTTTAACAAAAAAACGCCCTTTGTTGCCCACGATACAAATTGACTGTTCGTTCGAAATAATGAAGGTCTGATAAGTAGATATGCGCTTGTAATACGAATATTAATGCTGGGTTACGGTTGTCCTTTGCAAATAAAAATGGGCGGATTCGGGGGCGGGGGTTGGGGGGGGAGGAGGGGGAGTAGTAAAGGAAATTCAATGATGTCGTGATGGCTTTATAGTAAATAAAGTCAACAATAAACTGTCCCAGACTACACAGACATCGGAATTTACGCGTTGATTTTTGATTATAAAAAAAATATCAAGTTTGCTCGTGTTAATAAGAAATTCTTCTAAGGGAAAATAGGAGCCAAATATTCTGAGCATTAGGGTACTTTTGCTGACGGTAAACAGTGGACCTCGTGGTGCGGACGATGACTTCCGCAGCAAATGCCGTCCGTCCCCAATGCTGGAAAGTAGCACTTGTACCCCTTATATTGATAACGGAAAATAGCTTTTGAAGAACGCGAAAAATTCAGGACGACGTGACCGTCGTTATTTTGACATTCTATCCTTCGCCCTGTTACATATTTCATTCAGAAAAAATATCTCATCCCTGATCTGACCTAGAGAGGGCCGATACCGCGGGATTAATGCAAAGGTGTGTAAGATTATTTTCCAATTTCCGTCACGGTACATGTTCAGCGGCTTAAGTAGATGCATATCAATACATTCATCTGAAAGACGTCTCTGAAATGTATCTCCTCGTGATCTAAGAGGAGTTCGTTATACTGTAAGAGACGGCGACTTTGTTTTCAGCCATTCTTGACTATAGCATATATTTGAACATGGACCGTAATCTCGAAAGTTTCTCTGGCTACAAGTGTTGCCAGTCACTGTATACATCAAAAGTCAGCCCAAAAATTGCTCAGGATCACAGACAGAAAGCTATACCTTTCTAATATACAGACTCATAAACATAACGGAAACTAATATCACGATTTTATCTGTAATTGGCTTAAGTCAACTAAACCGTTTTATGTATTCCGTGCGTTTTACTTTTACTACATTTTGGTTTGTAAACAGCGGTGGGAATTCTATAAGTTTGAATAATACGTTCAAGAACAAAGTATTTGAAATGAAAAATACTTACATTTTCATGAAGTGTCCCTTCTTTTTGGTTTCTTTGTTTGTTTGTTTGTTTGTTTGTTAATTAAAAAAATACCGGAGTGCGTATAATTCTTCTTCTTTTAATGAATCCTTCTCGATATGCAACATCCATTTTGTATCTTAAATCTATCTTATGTTTTTATTATTGAACATAACATAACTGAACTTTTATTATTATTATTATTATTATTATTATTATTATTATTACTGCTTGGGGGTAGTATACCTGTGTGATAAAATTGAAAAAACACTCAGTTTGTTTTGATAGACTTTCTCGTAATCTTATCGGAAGAAAAATATATTTCATGACCCGAGGTGCTGTATTTTAAGATTTAAAACGCATATTCCCACTGAAGACTGTCCTCACACAACCCGCCAGTATCACTGGGTCGTATCTGTCTATTTGATGGACTGCAGTTAACTCGATGTTTATCTTTTTTTTCCACGGAAGAAATTTGTGTGATAAAAGATAACAACACATAGGCGTCAGTGTGTATTATAATATTGTCGGAAGGTATAATAGCAGAAGAATGCTTTTGATTATTTAGTTTCTTAAACCCATTATTAACTTCCCTAACAACAAAGGAAAAACCGTCGGTAGCTCGATAATCATCCGGAACTAACGCACGCAGTCTATCTCTAAGGGAAGTCCGCTTTATCTACATGTCACACCTTAGATTACTTTTAGATATGGGAATACCTTGCAGGGTTTTGCATACTTATCGAACAAAACGTGTCCTTAAAACAGCCGTTTCGTCTGAACGACTAACCCAAACCTGTACTAATAATATGGGCCCTCGGACTTCCATCCCTGGGGCTCATTCCCACTGAAACAATCGGTCTACGTAGATCGATCCAACTCCGTGGGAACTCCCGCTGAATGCAATCAGTTTAACAGAGCAAGACGCCCCCTCTTGTTTCTAACGTAATCGCATATTCATCGGGTTTTAAGTGTTCTACTCAACGCCAGGGGGAGTCGTGGTAATCTGTTGAACTGATTGCATTTAGCGAGAGGCCCAACGGAGTTGGATCGATTTACGTAGACCGATAGTTTCAATGGGAATTATCCCTAAGACTACCATTCCTGTCACACCGGCTTTATAATACCTAGTACGGCTCGTACGTTCTATACGGCAGTGACGGCCTCTAGCACAGTGCGGACATTCTTGATAATATGAGAAAATGATTAATATCAAATAGTTTTTCCCTATTTTTCAGCTCTTTTGAAGTGATGGACCAAAAACAAGTAATATTCTTCGCCTTGGTACTACTTACATTTTCAAGTAGGTAGAGTCGTCATTATGAAATATGTCTTCTCTTAAAATGTTCTGAAATGTTTTGTTAACCGCGAGACAACCACTCTGAAGCAAATGGTTGTTTGTTCTTCAATTTTTAGTTAAGTTTGTTGACAGGTAATCTAAAAGAAAAGATGACATGCAACTTTGACTGAGAAAAGTGTAAATGCTTGTTAATAAATATTCTCTTAATTTAATCATATATTTATCTATCAATATACAAGTTTATAATAACCTTTTTCATTTATCTATTTATTTTGTAAAGCGGGGAAGTGCTTAATTAACATTAGAGACAATCTTTTTTAATATAATTTTCAATATTTTCAGCATGTTTAGGCAGTGAAGACGTCTCTTCGAAATCGGACAAACTGCTAGAACGCATCGTGGCACTGCTAACAAGAGATCAGGAAGACATGGACACAAGAGGTGGATTAATCTCAGTGCTTCTAATTGTAAAATAAATGGTTTTCACGGTTTGTGATCACAGTTTTGATATAGTTCTGTTATAAAATCCAATTGTCAACTCCACATCTCTCAACCATTCAATTGCATAGCTTTATTTTTTTTGTTATAAGCATTATCCCATTGTCAGTTGGTCCTATGTCTTCAGGTGTCTTCTCTTTTAATTTTTTAATTCATTTATCTGTCTAGTTATTTTAACCAGTCATCCTTTTCAAAAAGAGTGTGTTTCATCTAGATTTTTTATCCGTAGGTGTTGCACCAGATTGTACGCAGAAAGTAATGGACGTCCAGATTCAATGTAGCTCTCAATACAACGCTAAAAGTACAGGGGGACTCGAATATTGTGAATGGTATGTGGAGTGTTTGTCTATTCGGAAACACACACACATACACACATACACATACACACACACACACACACACACACATATATATATATATATATATATATATATATATATATATATATACAACATTGGTCAAAAAGGTTGTCCCACCCCCATTTCCATGTACTTTTATTTACAAATGATCACCTTACGTGACGGAATTCAGGTATATAGTGTTATAAACGGTGTTTTTTATTCTAGAAACCATGTCTAACATGATTAATGGTTAAAAAAAATACAAAATAGGGGTGTGAATATGCACATTTTATACCATTTAGTCAAATTTATAACAGGTACCCCCTCAAATCCAATGTTTCACTGTGATTTCCACATATGTGAAGAAATGTCTATTAAATTGAAAAGACACCATCAAATGTCACCAAATTTACACATAATTAGCATTAGGATGTGCTCGTTTAAGATCACGTGCCTAATAGCGTGTGCGTCTACCGCGTACTGTAATTATCTCCTGTAGATGGTGCGACAAGCCTTCAACAAGGGTAATAATTCTGCTGTGCAACGGGAAAATACCAGATCAATTCTGGTCAAAAATGTAATGTTACACGTACATGTACGATATATACATGTACTTTGTACAGTTTTGCAAACTCTGCTTACTTTGAAACACTTAAAAGAATTCATTCTAAGATTTAGTTCAGTTGTTGACAAGATACGCAATGGAAATACATGATTAAAAAGAATACACTGCGGTATTGGCAACCTGTTATCCCCCCCTCTCTCTCTGACACACACACACACACACACACACACACACACAGACAGAGAGACAAAATCATGTGAACATATTTTATTTTTGTGACAATTACTCCTTGAACTCCCATGGGATTTTAAACCTTGCTTAACACATTCCTTTTATCTTCTCCAGGTCCAAGTTAACAAATATCGGTTTTATGGGCTGCTTCTACCAGGGTTGGTACAAAGCCTTCGACACAGTTGGCGCCAAGTGTACCCAGGAGTTTACCAATGCGAAGGATATGATGGTAAAATATTACAACCATCGCATGAAGACACACGGCTGCCCAGAGTCTGCGATGTAGAGGTTTTTAAGCTTCACAAGAGACCCACAAGAAACTGAAATCAAGTTGAACAGTCGCGTGAAATGCTGAAGAAGTGAGAACAGTATGACAGTATATATGTGGAAAGTCGTGGAATACTATTTTATATCACCATGACACATTTCGTTACGTTGAGCGTTTGCTCGACACAAGAATGGCATCCAAAGCCCATAGTAAAAATAAATACTTATTACAAATTTATTTTTCTTATCGAAGTAACGATTAGTGTTAGTTCCGGGAACAAAATTCTTAAGTCGAACCCATCTTCACATTTGCTGATATGCGCTTCTTCCATCATTTATGTTTTGTATCGCGGCAATATATTTAAGAACCGAGTATATATATATATATATAATATATTTTATTCTAGCCTAAACTTTGTGTTTTAAAGTGTCCAGTCACGTCAATCAAAGAGGAAAAACACGAGCCATATGGTCAAACTTAACTTGTCATGTTTTCATTTGTGTGGCTATACTTTTTAATGGCGATTTTATGGGATAAAAATTAGTCTGTTAAGAGCAAGTTGGTTCACTAAAAATTTAATGTATCCCAAAATTACTTTAAAAATGAACTTATCGAAATTTTATATCAGTATTTTCTAGTTACTGTATAGACTGTGACTTCACTATAGTGTTAAAAGTATCCAATAAGATTCAGTTTATTCGTACTAATACGCAAAAATGGATGGCTATGTGCACTAGTGAATGACAAAAGAGCTCTAAACATTGAACGTAAATAAAATTTAATGCAATTTACGTACATGCATGTTATAAACGAGATAAACATATAAAGCGTGATGAATAAATTGACAATAGATCGTCTACGACTCACCGGGGGCCAATGTTTATTCTATTGAATAGTTTTTTTTTATTATTATTATTAAAGAAGAAGAACAAGAAAGAAGCTATTTTTTGTCTCTTACGTACCAGTCTGTACTGGTGAAAATGTACATGTACATATAGATATAACTAAATAATTCGGGATTTATACTAAACTAAAACCTGTCAACTTGAATGAAGCAAATATGACTTGGGTAGTACATGTTATTTTCCTTATGATGAGGTATTTTCCAGTAAAGATACCAAGGAAATCGAAAATATCATTATGAAATCAAAATCTTGAAAACCTCATACATGTACGTGTATGATGGTCCAAGTTATTATTAATACGCTTTTTGAAAAGGGGGGGGGGGCACGAAGAAGATAAATTATATATTTACCATGTTTTTGCTCCGAATGAAAAGAATAATATTTATAATAATATTAACCTGAAAAACGATTTATTATTTTGATAATATTTTAATAGATAAAGCATGAATGGCAACATGGGCTCGTGGTTAGAGCTGACATGATTTTGTGGCGGGAAGACGTGTGTGTGCGTGTGTGTGTGTGTGTGTGTGCGTTTGCGCGCGCGCGCGCGTGTGTGTGTGGCTCTAATGATCATTGGCATGTCTGATTATAAACAAATGTGAAAGCCGAGAGAAGACCCCCCATTCCTTGCCCCAAGGATCTGCCACTGCTTGTACCGGTACCCTCATTCCTGAAAGCAAAATGTGCGTGTCTGCACGTGCATGCATGAATGGCTTCTTAAATTTTATAAAAAAATCAATCATTAGAGAACAACCCTGCTATAAGCGTGTTATCAAGGTCATCCATTCCTGGTATCCACGTGACCTTGCTCCGTCACCAAGTGTTGTTTTCACCACGCGTCACCATGGTTACCATCCTAAAATGACAGCAATCTCACCGCAGCCATTAATATGTGCTATGCAGATCCGCTGTTACCGCCGCACATCAATACTTTATAAACAATATTTTGTGGGAATTAATGTTTTCCACATGAAATGAAAAATTCAGAAGTGTCTTCATTTTGAAATCCTGAAATTATTCTTTTGATGTGTTGATCAATGAAGAACAACAGGATATAGGGGTTGAATTAGAATACATTTAAATACACCGACACATCGGACTCGATGTGTTTGCAAACGTAGAATTATACATGAGCCATTTGAGGCCAAACTTATAATAATAGTCTAGTGGGATTTCCACAAAAGATGAATAGTAGGGGCATTTTGGGGTAAAAGTTGGGAACCAGGCTTATTAGCATAATTTTGGGATGCTGAATCCGATTTACCCGGTTCCCAAGCGAAATTTTGCGTTTTAAATGGTCTAATTTGCAAAAAAACAAAATGGCCGCCAGATTTCCTATTTTCTGCAATACCTCTGGAACTAGACAGGTGAACATGACAAATGAAGTGTCTTTACCTATATTTTCAGGGTCGAGGAACATTATAAGGATGTTTCTGTTAGAATTAGATTTACGCAATTTTCCTAAATATGCAAATTAGGATCGCCATTACTGAAAAACCGTTTTTCTTCTGTATCTCTGTAACTAGGCAACCAAACATGACAAATGAAGTGTCTACACCTATGTTCTCAGGGTCAGGGAATGTGATAAATCAGATTTCTTGTCTTATGGGTAGCACTGACTTTGTGAATCGTGTCCGAGTAGCATCTTTTATTGTTTCTTCCCTGTATCTGTCAAACACAAGTCAATCTGCTGATAGTTAGAACCT